ATACAACTTACTTTCCTGCAGGCAAACACTGCCAAAACCTCCCACTGCTTTCACTGAGTCTAGGATTTTACAGACAAGGGGTACTGGATGTTCAGCACTTTTGGAAATCAGACCTTTTAGATGCAAGATAAAGGCATTTAGGACAAGCAGCTAGCCCTCTCAGATAGCTTTCTTCTCTCCTAGTTTGGCTATTCTTTTAACAGGGTGGTAGCAGCACCACTGCCACAGAGAAAGCACAACCAGGATTTCACAGAACTCTCTGGAAGCCCATTAACTGCTTCGGTTTATTGCCTCCAACACTTCTGAGGAAGGGTCCCTCTTTCCCCCTCCTTCATGTTGCTGCCTATTACAGACTCTGCTGGGGTCCTCATTTCCATTGGAACACTGTAACTTCCTGAGGAGTTGCTCTCTGGGGACCACTAGGAAAGATTTCACCATCACCTGATGATCCATAAAACTACAATGCAAACACCTGAAGTTTCTGCTCCCATTCCGAGAAGTGTTCCCGACAGACACCTAAAGGGGCCTCTTGGGCACCACAAGTTCACAAGTTCCAGCACACTGGAAGTTACCCATCTTTCTTTGCACTGCCCTATCCCTTGTGTCCTTACCTCATATGGCCGGAGCTCAGGGGCCGTGCTGTTAAGGCAGGAAGGAGTCCATTGGCTGGAAATGCTGACTTTGACATTACTGAATGTCTTTCTGGAAGCATGGAGCAGGGAATAACTGCCAGAAAACACACAAGACACAGGTTGGCCAGATCTTCTCTGGAGGTCGAGTGGGAAAGGGTGGGGTATCAAATACAGATACACACTGTCCCAGCAGGCAGCATAGCAGAGGACTGGCAGTTTTGGAGATAGCAGTCAGCAGTGGGAACCCCCAAATTATGGGAAGACAGGGATTTCACCCTTTGCAATAGACTGCTCTTGGCTTGGCACAGCCAGCCTCACCTTTGGTGGTTGGATTCCCCAGGGACATAACACCCTTACCTCTATAACTGCATGAGTCCCAGACTGATTGGCTCTATGAGCTTATAAGTTAGTTTTCAAGGCTCACAGCCAAAGGTTAAGACTATTTCCCTGCCTTCATTCTTCTATGATATGCTCTCACTTCCCTAAATTCAGTGAGATGAACACCTCTCTGTGCAGAGATACACTGAACCTACCTGAAGAAGGTCAGCAGGAACACAACAATATGATGGTGGGTGCAACGGGACACAAGGCCTCTGTTTGCAGGCTGCCTCCGTAAGCTTCCAGGCAAAGCCATGTTCCTGGCAGCCCTACCTTTGCTCCTGCCTTGGCCACAAGGGCTGGATGGTGATTAGGTCATTTTTTTCTTCTCACTTAAACAGAAGAAGGTGGGAAGGGAGGAGAAAAGAAAATATATTTGGATTAAAACACATGTATAAAGCAGAGTTTTGTTCCCCAAACAGCTGGAATTCAGAAGAAACAACTCCACACCATTCCTTCCCTGTTTGTTTCACACCACTACCTACCTCATCACTTGTACATTCCTTAACATCTTCTATGCCTAAACGTGCCTTTTTATTCCCATTCTCTCAGTACCCTGATGGTCATCTCCCAAATCACTTCTTTTTTGTTTCTCCCCTAGCATATACCTCTTCAGTGCCCATCACCAAAGGGGTTCCCCCTGGATCTACCAATTCCCAGCATTCCCACATTAAAAACCATTCTGCACCATTTACACACGATGAACTACAGTGTGGTCATAAATAAGACAGCTTTCCACTGCTACCTGGCTGGTCATAGACTGGTGATGAAATCATGAGAGCAGCGTTTGGCTGCTGGAGAAGAATGGTTTGGGATCTAACTGCCTTGTTAAGATACTGTTGAAAGAATATAGCCAAGAGTGGACTTGCACAGATGGAAAAAGGAAAGTAACCGTGAGGACAGTGCTGAAATCCAACAGCTAGACTCCCTGCCTATTTATTCTCAAGCCTGACATTACAGCTCCATCTGTCACTAACTCATTAGTACAGCACATGGCAAGTCATACCTTCCTGTAGGGCACGGGTGACATCTGCCCCAACTTCTACATACCCAGAAATTATCACTACTGAGGGAAGGCTATGATAGATGCACAGTTTCTTCATGCTAGTTTATGTCACACTACTCCACTCCTTGAGCTGTGCTGGCGTGGTCGAGGGACCATTTCTGCTAACTTGAGATTGGCAAACAGCCCCACTGGGCAGCAAGGTGGTGAATCTCTCCCCACAGCTGCCTTTTGTTTCCTTGGTAGAGATCTTTTTCAGCCAACTTCCCTACCACAGATCAAAAAGCAGCTACACAAAGGCTTGTGTCCATGTGACAGACAGAGCAGTGCAGAGAGAGAGATGCTGCACACCAACGCTGCTGCTGAAGGCAGAGCTCAATCCTGTCAGCACTCACTGGCCTGAGAACACTGGGACAAATCCACTGGTGGGAACTGCATTTGCAGAAGATGTGCAAACAACACGCATTCTGAAAGCTGAGGAGAGGTAAAATAAAGGACCACACCTGTTCCCCCAAAGGAACTGAAACTGAACTGGTTCCCCCTCAGCACTGAAATAAGACAGAAGATAGTGCCTTTGTATTCTTCTGTATCCACGGGTGCTTTTTGTAATTATTTGCAAATCTGACAGAAGACTTTTCAAGTTCAGCTTTATAACCTCACTTGGAGAAATTAGAAGTCACTGCCCAGACACAGTCTCATCCAAATTTTTGCTGCTGAAAATGCTGTATTTCACAGAGACTTTCTGCTCTTCCTTCTAATAGCTTTTAAAGGTTTCATTAAGACATCTTTCACTGCAGGAAGTCTTTGTTTCCTGTCCTCTACATGATGATGCGAGCCTGATTGACAAAAGGATAACAGCTACTACTGGAGACATGAACCATCATGGAAACTGAAACCTGACCTCCAAAACAGGTCACATCTGACCTCCAGAACAGAGTACGGCATGGAGATCCTCTGAGTAATATGGATCCAGCTGTGACCGCTCTGAGACACTGGAGTCATGTTTAACCTACACCACACCTGAATGCCTCCATTCTCATCCAAGACAAATACAGCAAGTCTGAACAAGACCTGCCTCTATACAGCCCAGGTGCATTTGAGCCACACTCCCACTGCTCCAGCTAGCACAGAGCACCTCGGTGTGCCAGCACCTCCTTGTAGGGACATGCTTCTAGATTGCTTAGGTTTGCACAGAGGAAGAAAAAAAGCACCTACAGCTGGAGCTGTGGGAAGGCAAGGCTAGCCCAGGAAGAGGTAACTTCACAAGCAGTCTTGATACTACCCTTCCCCTGAGGTCTCAGACCATTTCTCAGCACCAGTGAATGAAAACTCAGCACCCACACAAGTACCACACAGTGCTACTCCCTTTCAGGCAGTGGTAACGCTGCTCAGGGCCGTCTGCCACACAAGCTGCATGAAGAAGAGAAGGGAAGCCAAGGCACTCCAATTTCCCAGCACCGCAGTCCTTATGGGCCTGTGAACCACACGGTCTGTTGGTCAAACACAAGAGCTCGTTCTTCTTCCTTGCCTCTCCCTCCCCTCCCACCAGGCAACAGCAGGTTACAGAGCACTCCTGAGGAAAGCAAACCACTGCCAGTTGTGCAACACTGCAGGGAAAAGTTCCGTCCTCGGGTAATCAGTTTGCAGCCCGGAGCACAAGATTTACTACTCACTTCATGTCAACAGATGCAAATATAGATCTTATTTGTCCAAGATACTGAGTCTTTTTAAAGATAAGACCTCGTTTGACCTTAAAGTCACCTATTGTTCTATAGCATTTATTATTGAAACGATCTGTTTTTCAGAGCTTCTCAGTCTCAACTAGCTTTCTAGAAGACCTTCTGGCACAGGACATTTTCACTATATAGAGATGACTGTGAAAGATTTTGTTTTCCCTTTTTCTTCATCCTGCCCTTTCTTTATTCAAAACTGACATTCTCCCTAGGCTAGAAATGCATGCAACTAGGAGGTTAATCCTCAAAAATTAGTCTTCTAATTATTCTGAGAACACCATAGTAAGTTTGTAGTGGAGGGGAAGCAAAAACTAGGCAGCAGGATAACCCACAGAACTCAAGGCAGTGAAGCACAAGCCTTTAAGAAAGGAAGAGGAGCACTTTCAGGGTATTAAGACTACCTTGTCTAACTGTTTTGCACTATTTATCTTCAGCTAGCCAATATTTTGAGTAAGCTTCTGTTAAGCTTTCACCGTTATTTGTTAAGCTTCCCCCTTAGTTCTCTTATCCCTTCACCTAAAGTCATAATAAGACACCTTAAGGTCAAAATAAGACACCTTAAGTTCAAAACAAACTTCCTTAATACTATCTTGCCGTCCCTCAAAGCTGGCAGGAAAGACTAGCATTCACATTCCTGGGACTTACAAAGTGCCAAACAAACGGATTTTTTTCTTAAAAATTAAATAAAATAAATAAATAAATAAATAAATAAATAAATAAATCCAAACTAACAAAACCTCCCAGTCTTACGCCATCTTTCCAAACTGACAGAAGCACGGCAGCACAAACCCAGACCCACACAGGGCCCTCCGCCGCCAGCACAAGCAGACCGTCCGCCACCCCCGAGCCCCTGTCAGACGCTGTCTGGGAAGAACAGGGGCTGCCCGAGCACCGGGAGGATGCGAGCACGATCCGACTGCCGGGTCCCCGCTGGCAGCGCATCTGCAGCGGCGGCAGCGCCCGGAGCCCGGCTCTCGGCTCGGCGGGGAGGACGCGGCTCCTCCCGCCCCGGTCCCCGCGCAGGTGGCGGAGCGGCCACGTCCTCGGCGGGGCGAGGAGCGGAGCCGAGCGGGCAGCGCAGGGCACGCACCGGCTCCGCCACCGCCGCTACCCCGCCGCGGCATCGCATCCCACCGCATCCCATCCCACCGCACCGCCCCGGGGAGCTCCCGCCGCCCGCCCGGCCCCGCGTACCGCGCCCGGCGCCCAGCGCTGCCGAAGGAAGTCGGCGGGAGGGAGGCGGCCCTTCCGGGCGGTCCCGCGGAGCGGCGGGAGCTGTAGTCCGGCCCCGGCCGCTGCCGAGGGGCCCTGCCCGCCTCCCGTCCGGGGGCGGGCAGCGAGCGGCGCCGGCAGCGTCCCCCGGCCGGCGGGGCGGGGAAGGGGAGGGCCCGGACTACATCTCCCGCCGGCCCCGGGCCGAGGCGGTACAAAGCGGGCGTACCTGGCCCGGCAGGGCAGCGCCGACAGGTGAGCGGTGGGACAGGGGCTCCTTCCTCGGGCCCGCGGCTCGTCCTCCCCCCCCCGCCGCCCCGCTCCCGCCGCAGGCCCGCCCGGGAGCCGCGATGCCGTTCCCCAGCTCCGGCGCGGACGATGCCTTCGACTACCTGTTCAAGATCATCCTGATCGGGGACTCCAACGTGGGGAAGACCTGCGTGGTGCACCGCTTCAAGACGGGGCAGTACAACGAGAAGCAGCAGAACACCATCGGCGTCGACTTCACGGTGCGCTCGATGGACATCGACGGCAAGAAAGTAAAGGTCCGTGGCGGGAGCAAGCCCGAGACTCTTGGTGGGCAGCACCTTTGCCGTGTCACCTTTCCCATGCAGGTGCCGGGGAGTAGTGGGATGCACAGCATCTCCTGCTCGGCCCTAATGAAGGCAGCTGGCAAAAGCTGGCCGCCTTTCTGACCAGGGGTGTTTCCAAGGGGAGCTTTCTCTCAGGAGCATGCCCTGGGGGAGGCACTCACCCTAATTTGGGTACATGCTTGCTCTCGTGACTTCTCTGCATCTACTTGAGGAGAGGGCTCACACTTTGCCTGCAGGGAGTTCTTTGGAAGACTGCTGTATTTTGGAGGGGTTGTCTCTTACCTCTGTCAGAGATGGGGGAGTTTAAGCTGGGACACTGAGGAGAGAAAACCCTCTAGTTTGCAAAGGCTACACTTTGATGTGTGCTTAATTTGAGGGAAGAAGGCTTCCAAGACAGACACCAGAAGAAATGGTTAGCTAGAACTTCCCTCTGCATGCAGATGGAAGTTCAGATGCCTGCCCTTTATATAGATTTGCTCTGCCCAGTCCCGCATCAGGACTTCTTCCTTTCCTGTTAAAAGCCTGTAATGCTCTACATCTTTTAGTACAGTTGTTGAAACTGGGGTTCTTGGCCTCTTTACAAAGCTGGGTTTACCCTTGCAGCTTTCTCTTTGGACTGTGTAGATTGACTTTACAGGCTCATAAATGTCTCTTCAGACCCAGAGAAGGCAAAGCCACACTGTTGTAGCAAAGAGAGCTGAGGCAGGTCTGGCTGCCTTCTAGACGAGGGGTTTCAAAAGCCTGGATGCTGCTGGCAAACACCTAGGAAGTGGCATTCACTGGCCTTTACAACTTCTGTCCTTTCTCTTACAGATCCAAGTGTGGGACACAGCTGGCCAAGAACGCTTCCGGACAATAACCCAGTCTTATTACAGGAGTGCCCATGGGGCCATCCTTGCCTATGACCTTACTAGGAGGTCCACATTTGAATCCATTCCTCATTGGATTCATGAAATTGAAAAGTACGGTGCTGCAAACTTGGTCATGATGTTAATTGGTAGGATTTTAATTTTAAATATTGTGTTATGTAGCTTTTTTAAGATGAATATAAAATCTCCTTCACTTTCCCCCACTACCTGAAGCATCTATAAACTATGCATTAAGAAAGAATGCAGTTCTAATTACAGATCAGAAAATATATCAGTGTGGCCTAAGCTTTCAAAAAAAAATGAGGAAAGTCATAGCCTGGTCCTGACAGGACCAAACCCACTGCAGACAGCGAAACCTTTTTTTACTTATTTCTTTCCTGTTGGAATAATGCAACAAGCTTTGCTGCCAGACTGGAGGTAGGGACAGCCTTGCTGAGGTTAGAATTGCAGTCATTCTGACCCTATACTCCTGATGCACAGGAATGTAGGGGCTCAATAATTCAAGACTGAAGGGGAATGCACAGAGCAACACAACTCCTCGTTCTCATCTTTCCTCTCTGTTCTTTTGATATGCATGCGCATTGCTCTGTAATGGGATTCCTGTCAGGTAAGACAATAGATGGGGAAATGGCTTTTGCAGGGCATGAAGTAGTCTGCTTACATTCCACTAGCGTTCAGGAAACTTTGCCTCTTGAGGAAGCAATCGCTGAGAACTGGAGCTGGTAGGAAGCAGCGTGGTTCCTTCCTCTTGATTTCAGGTGGTTATTGCTCTTCCTGTCCCCAAGGAAGAAGCTGCAAATGAGAGAACTGGTGTAGTAAAATGACAGAGGTTTTATTTACATTCCACAGCCTCTGCCTGTTGTGCTGTGGCGCTGTGCTGAGAGCACTGCATGCAGCTACAGCAGCCCAGACTGGCTCTTGAGGGCGGGCAGGTTGAGCCCCACGGCACAACAGGCCTGGGACAGAAGCTGCTGCTTTTGCTCCCAGCACAGTACTTACTGCGGCTGTGATGGTTCTTCCTGTTCTTCCTCTGAAGAAACAAACAACAAATTCTGACCCACATCTATAACTGCAGTGCTTAGAATTGGATGGGTGTAAATCACTGAACTTGGCAGGGTTTTTCTAACTAATGTCATGAATCTAAAGAAAAGACTTACCTGTGTGTGGTGGGGGCTGGTGGTGGTTGATGCTGTTTTTTAAAGAGAGAAGTTCTGAAATTGGTAAAAATAAAGCTTTTGTTAAGGTTTCAGCTTGGTGCTTTCTTCCAGAGCTGGTGCTGTTTGCTTTACTTACTTTGGCAGAAGTCTTTGTACATTTAATTACATTTGAGCACGTTATACACCCTTCTAGCATGAGGTTAAGGTTAAGAAGTCTAACTTTCCCATCTTGAAGGGAGGGCTCTTTTTAAGAAGCCAAATAACCCTCCAGCTGTTTGTTGGGGGGTTGTGATTTTCTTTTGTGGGGTGGGTTGTTTTGTTGGTTTTGTTGGGGTTTTTTCCTTTTAGAAAAATTGAAAGGGACTTAATGGGAGGGGAGGTGGCTTGTATATGCTTCAAATTCAAGATATGAATTTGATGAAGGGCTGTCTTGAAACTATGAATGTAGACTTCAGCCAGGTACTGCATGTACCAGAACTGATAATTCCACATGTGCTGCAACTACTTAAATATACAAAGGTATTTTATCTGAGGCGTTTCACGCTTTCTGATAGACTTTGACTGGAGTGCTGCAAGTAAAAGTTTTAATCTATATATGCAGAAACAAGTCTCTATCTTAAGCATTAAAGTAGCTAGTGTGAATTCTTGTCTTTTTTGACATCATCTTAAAAGATTTTTTAAAGTGTTTAACCTAAATGCTACTAAATGTTTAAAACCACTAAAGAATAGAACCAATAGTTGCTTCCAAACAATCATTTGGCACCACTACCTACACCAAATAATTAGATGAACACAGGTTTTTAGTTTTTTCTTGGATTTCAACTCATTTCCTATCCTATGATTAGCTGCAGTTTTGATCCACAGTCTGTGTTTGTGGCTCCGATGTGCTCGCATCTTGTTCTTTCCAGTAACTCTTACACCTAACATAAATCTGTTGTTTAACAGAATTTAATTAATCCATTGCATTTAAAGATGAATTTTTGAGAGACTAACTTATTGAATGTCTATTTGCCTTCTTTTAAGGGAACAAATCAGACTCACTGGATAAGCGCCAGGTCCTGTTTGAAGATGCCTGCACGCTGGCAGAGAAGCACGGGCTCTTAGCTGTACTGGAGACATCAGCAAAAGAAGCTCAAAACATAGAAGAGGTGTTCATGTTAATGGCTAAGGAGCTAATAGCCCGAAATACCTTACAGCTTCATGGAGAGAACCCTCCAAACAGCTTCTGTCTTGATTCCAAGCCAGTGATTGCCAGTCCAAGTGTGGAGAAGGCCCAGTGCCCCTGTTGAAGAGAAACTTCAGGAAGAGCTTGGAAACTGTCATTCTTCTGAGGCTGTTTGATGCAATTGTATTCAATTGATGAAAGTGTCCTCTCTGGCCTCAAGCCATGTCTCTTGATATCTCTACCTTGGAGTTTGGCTTGTAAGTATTTTCAGAGATCATTGTTGCTGTTGGTAGCACAGGTTGCTTTGAACGTAGCAATGAGCTGAGAGGACTCAGGAAGCTGCCAGCCCTTGCCTTAATCAAAGAGAACTATAAAAACTATTGCCTTTAATTATAACCTTTGAATGTTTTTCTGGCTGTGTCAGAAGATGAATTTGCACCAGAGCTGTGTGTTAATTTGACCCTTCTGAGCTATGTTGCTGGTTCTAAGTGCAAGCACTTTCTGCTCTGCCCGTAGCTGTAAGAAGTCTGACACATGCTGCTTAAACTTTCATTTAGGGGCTGTCCTGATGTCAGGCATGTAGCCACCCATCCCAAGGGACTTAATAACATTTGTGAAAGAATAAGTGGAGACATCCCTGGGGTTACATGGCAGGCAGAACAGGATACACTTCTTCCTGGGGTGAGAAGACTGCCTTTCACTTTGCTCCCTAATTGTCAGAATTGCTTCCAGTACTGGTCTCCATCTTGCTACACAGACTTACTAGAAGCAAAGCTTCCAGTGAAAGGATGTTTTTTCTTTTCTCCCCACTAACCTCATCATGCTTTTTGATGTGCTGATTTTAACCAAAAGCCTTCTGTAGCTTGTGCAATGGGCCAATGGCAGCTTGAGAGTATGCCTGCAGATTTCCAAGGGAGTCTGAAGGATGGATCCAAGCTCCTGTAAAACTCAGCAAGGGGTAAGATGGTTTAATTAGGTAACCTTGTGTTAGAGCAGTAAGTGAATGGTATGGGGTGCACCAGAAAGCTGCCCTAGGCAAGTATATACACTACTGCTGTGGGGACTGAACAATGTGGAAGGTTTTGGATCGCTCTTCCCAAATGCAAGCTCTGCTACTCAGGGGTCACTTCTGTATACCTGAACTGAATGAAGGGGTTTGGTTGGGGGTTTTTTTGGTGTGGGCTTTGAGGTTTTTTGGGGGGTTTTTTCGAGTTTTGTTTTGGATTTTGTGTTGTTGATGTAGGTTTTTTTCTTCTCTGTTGTTTTGTTTGCATTTTTTTCCCAGTAGATGGAAACAGGGAAGGAGAGGGAGGAAAGAAATATTATACAGGGGAAAGTTCTTTTGACTGCACTCCTCACGTACCAAAGTGTGTCAGTTACTGTTAAGCTATGAACTGCAACTCAAACTCTGTAATGATAAAATATGGTCTGTGTCACATTCAAAGCAGCCCTAGGAAGGCTGGTGTGTTGCTGGCTTACTTGATGGTGGTCTGCCCATGTTTCCTAAGCCCTGGAAAAATAGGGAAAATCACGTAGCAAATATTTCTGGAAAATCTTGTCTGAGAAGCACAAAAAATAAAGCAGAATGAATCACTGATTTATAGTCTTGGAAATACTTCTAATATTATTAATGCTTTCTCTGGCTAAGTTCTTTGCTATCACATGCAAAGAGCAGCTGTGTGTAAACTGAGGGAGGAATCCTCCATGCTAGCCTCTAAGCCTTTTGCCTGCTGTAGAGAAAGCTTCATCTTCAGACATCCTCTTTCTGATGTTTACTTTTTAAATCTTATTTCTTCTTCATTCAGTACTAGCCTAGTAGTTGCATTTCAGTTTGCACATTTAGGCAACAATAAATACCATAACCTTTCCAAGTGGCAAGCAAGCTTCCAAACTACTAGTTTCTACACCTCGTGTCACTACGAAAACAGTAAAATATAAGCTTAATATTCTATTCTGTTTAAAATCCAAACTACTCCTGGTCGTAATCCATCTCTTTTTTTTTTCTTTTTTTTTTTTTTGTATCTTTCAGGAGACTGTAATAGAAAAGTATTGTGTTCATCTCACCATGTTACTGGCGGTGTTAACCTTGGCATGGTTCATTGGGTTTACTACCTTAATTAGCAATTAGTGTATCAAGTTATTTTGCTTACCCTCAGTATGGAGATTTCTGCAGGCTGATGTGGTCCTCCCTGACTGCCCAGCACTGCCAGGCTACAGGGCTCTTGCCATTCTCTTCCTCACAGAAAGCTGTGCAACACGGGATCAGGGAGGACAGGCTTGTGACCATGCCTTGAGCTGCACTGTCCCCTTTCCTTTAACAGGTCTAACAGGCTCCCTTCTCCTCCTTCAAGAAACTAGTCTTAAACACCTCCCCATTGTGCAACTAAACCAGGAGCATGACCTCTTCTGGTTGGTTCTGTTTGGCATCTTCCACACGGCCTTTGGGCAGTTACACTGAATGGTTTCTGCAGGGACACTTTTCAAGCTGTCCTCGCCTGAATGAAGAACAAGCTGCAGCAGTTGCTAACAAGGTTCTTCAGAGAGTATACTGGTAATGGTATTATTCATGAGGTAATACATGAAGCCATAAACTTAAAAAAAAACCCCTTTACTGTGGTATGTTATTATAGACTGTGAGAACCACTAGATTAAAATACAAACTCGGTGTAATTTCTGCGGTTCTGCCTTTCCCCATCAGAGAGCAGGTGGGAACACACAGCTGTGACAAGGCAAATTGGCATTAGCTGCTACGGAACATTCCATTAATGGTTTTGTTCCCCAGCATCATATGCAAATTCAGTGTGCTTCCTGACAGTATCATTAATGCATTTGTTCAAAGTATAGCTTGTTTACACCACTATTCTAAAAACTACTACTGTCCCTCGGGTTTCAGTTTTAAGAGCTGCACATTCAGCTTGAAGATGAGCTCATTTGTTAAGTTTTTATCTACTTGGAAGTGTTTCAATCTTAGCTGTGGCACATTACTTGCACTGCAGTCATGCCAGATGAGATTGAAGCAGGACCTACCCAATGAAATGGGATAATGAAAAAAAAAAAAAAAAGTATTTTAAAATGGAGCAAACTGACACCTCCCAGAAGCTGACTAGTTTGAAAGTCAACATAACAGCAAGCCAGTGAAGTGGAAGGTGTATAGCACTGCCTATGTGGTCAGGCTTTGCTTCACAGGCAGGAGACAGGCTCTTAATTGCAAAAGCTGAGGTTCTTATCTAATCATTCTAGTTAATGTTTAAGTATAGTTGGAAAGGAGACAGAGAAAGCAATTTTCAGGTCCTGACAGAGGTGGAAAGCTCTATCCTTGAGCCTTTTTTCAGGAAGGAGATGCATGCCTGTGCTTTTGGACAAGGAACTGAAAGTGAAGCTTCCCCCCACCAGGTGAGTGCTCAAATGAAAGTGCTTTTAGGAGATGCCCCTTCCAGCTGTGGGCTGCCAACAGGCAGCTTTTTATGGGTCTCAGCTCTAAAAACACCACATTTGGCTGCAGGTGTGTGTGTGGGCTTAAATAGTCATTGCTCAACGTACTGACTCCCAAAATAATTTTCAAGCACCACTCTCGTGCAATTGTATTAGGAACTGGAACAGGCAATGCTGGGATATGGGAGCCCTCTGAGAATAGTTTTAGACATGCCCAGAGCTCCTTTTTCCTAAGAATACTTCACCTTGTAATAGGAATGTGCAGTTTGAGATGGGTCGGACTTTTAAATATTTTTTGAAGTATTTTTCTTATGCTGTAAAGTATAAGAAGTATTGTTCTAAAAATCAGCACTCAGGTGCCTGCACAACCTCTGTCAATGCAGTCACATCAAGCTGTTGACTCTGGCTTGACAGCAAGTGACAAACAGCACATCTATATATAACAGGGCAGGAGCTTAGCATATTTGGAGTCCTGCATTTCCTTGCTCCTACTGTGTCCATGACTATCACTACTTATACAGTTTTCTCTGCTAAGTCTAGTTTTGCTAACCTGAAGTGAGGCTCACCACAACTAGTTTAATAATGTCTCTCTAATGCTTACATTAAACTGACTTTGTAGCTACTTGATCCCTTTGTAGCTACTTGATCCCTTGTATCTCGATCCCAGGGGATTACATGGGGGCTCTCTGTCCTTTTAAACTGCTGCAGCATTGATAATTTCAGCTACACAAGTTTTGTTCCAAACCTGAGACACCCCATAAGTTTCCTGCTAAGGCAAGGTGAGCTACTTTGTATTTCATTACATGCATCAGGCATCCCCTCAAAGATTACAATCCACCTTGGGCTACAGTCAAGGGCAAGCTGTGCTACCACCGTTTGAACTGAAGCAGCAGAGGTTTTCACAAGTACTCTTAGCTTGTATCATCCCATTCAGAGCAGTGAGAACGGGCAGCACACATAACTCTGTGCTTACCACAAGAGGCAAAGTTTTGTATTAAACTAAATGTATATACCCTGGCCTAGGGAGTAAAGTCAAGGCACTTCGAGTGAGAGCATGCATCTTTTTCTGAAGATTTTTGTTTTGAAATCAAGACTTTGCTGGTAGAAGGTTATGGAGATTTGATACCTTTTCATCTTGACATTACTCTGATTGGCCTCTTCAGTTTCTGTACCTAGGTATGTACTTGAAGAAAACATAGCACAGCCTAAGTTGTCACCCTCCATCTTTTTACATTAAAAGTTTGCCTTAATTCTACTGAAATTACTCCTGTTCTTACAAAGGAAAAGCATAACAGCCTACTAACATTATTTCAAAGGCCCTACTATTTTCAGTTGTTCCAGTTTGGGATGGGTGGAGGGTAGAAATCACAATGCTACAGCAAGCTTAGAAACAAACCTCCCACCAGCAAGGTTCAGACACAAGTGGCACATAACAGTACTGCCTGGTGACAAATACATGCGGGTCTTGAACCTGCAGAACAGGAACCACAGCACGATTCAAAGTGAGAGCAACAGAAGCTACTTGTCACGATGCACGTGACCACATCAGTCACCTTGCAGCTGGACCCAACAGCCTCCCCCAGAGCAAATCATTCATTTGTGTGTCCTCGGCCTCCCCTGTAACACCCACAGAAAGCCGCTTCAGAAGCGGGAGCATCCACCACTGTGCCCCATGGACACCCACACAGAGTAAAGCACACCACTTCTCACCCCTTATGAAAAGAACCGCATGTGTGTGCTCTGGCTGGTAAGGTTTACCTTCTTCCACTTTACCAGAACACATTTTT